TAGGTCCAAACACAAGAGTACAGAATGCCTCCTGTTCATGTAGAGGTGAATGGTCTAGTCATCCTGATGAGCATTTTAGAATTAGTCTTAGGTCTATGAAACGTACTAAAAGAATAACACCCCCAATGAAATTGCAGGAGGGGTCACATTACGATTCACATGTTTTATTTGCTCGTGTTCTGAATACAGCATGACTTTCTAATTTGTGATAGCTGTATTTTTTAGCTCTGGATCAGATGTATATACTGGGAACAAATTTGCTTTTTTTCAGCACTGAGATGTTTGAGAAGGAAATATTTGAGGACTGAAATTGTGGATCTAGCTGCAGCCATAGCTCTGTAGTTAAGAGAAGTATTGACTGATTGTCTTTATCCTACATGCAATTAATAAAACTGCTATCATGTAAGACATCCTTTATTCCAAAAGAAGAATTAAATGATACGCTGGTTTCTTGTTGCTGAAGTTCTCCATGGCTCAGAGCTGCGGTTTTCAAAGGAGAAAAACTATGTGCCAAATTGTATTGCATGCCAATAATGTTTCATCTCATTAACTGCTTTGTGATTCCTGGTGGACAGATGTCAATAGTCAAATATATCACCGATCTTGTAAATTGCTGTAAACTGGGTTTAATGAATACTGGTGTAGTTCAGTGGAGTAACTCCTGTTTGTACCACAATAGAAGCTCACTTTTTTTCTTTACTGGATGCATCAGAATGCTATTATTACTATTTCTTGATTTATTTCAGGATTTTTTTCTCAGTATCACTGTCCCTTATTAAGTAGGAAAAAAGCCTTAGTTTTGTATGTGAGAATTCCATGGCTTTAATTTTAATAAATATTCACATCCTTAGTTTTCTGCTTGTGGATCAGATCTTGAAAAGTATTTGTTTCTTTTGACTATTCAGTGGAAAATTGGCTTGGGAGAATATTTTAATGTTGTGAGGGAAAAGGAAATTATTATTTTATATTACACCAAAATAAAGTGCATGAGAGGCAGTTGCTTAAGAGTTTGGCATAAGGTTCTGCTGGGCATATCTAGAAAGCTTTAGAAATTAATTTAACGTGGGATGGAAGCCAAAAAGTAGTCCTGTTTATGAGACTGTGAACAATTCTAGTTTTAGTATCAACTTCTTGTTAAATGTCACTGTCACAACTGATGGAAGTATTTCCTAGACCTGATTAGGATTTTAATTTCATGCTCTTCTTATCTTGATAGTTTCTTGTACAATTTGATAATACAATAAATATTTTCCCACACTATTGTTTTTTTTTTCTCCTAACTTATAGTTAGGAGTCTAAGCCACATTTCATTTCATTTCCCTTATGTAACACATCCCTATTTACAGTTCTGGCCCAGTCAAGAGCGTGAAGGTGCTTCTAAGTCAGAGTCAAGCCAAAAGGCTTGTTTATGTGCTTCGTTAATTAGGCTAGAAGAAGAGCTGAGGTGATGACTCATGCAAAAGACAATAAATATTGGGTCATCAGTGACCCCAGGAAATTCCAGTGGAATCACAGAACGGATGAGGTAGGAGGGGGGCTTCTGGAGATTGTCTAGTCCAACACCCTGCTCAAGCAGGGCCACCTGCAGCTGGTTGCTCAGCGCTGCGTGCAGTTGGGTTTTGAGTATCTCCAAGGGTGGAGACTCTACAACCTCTCTTGGCAACCTGTGCTGGTGCTTGACCATCCTTGGAATAAAACACATTTTTCTTGAATTTAAACATAATTTCCTGTCTTTCAACTTGTGCCAGTTCCTCTTGTCCTGTCTCTGGGCACATCTGAGAAGAGTCTGGCTTTTGTCTTCTTTCATTTTCACTGGAGCATGGCTGAGCTGTGCCAGCCCTAAACTTGGCTTGAATCGCCATGATGTACCTGCATCAAATTGTTTGTGTGCAGAGGCTTAACACATTAAAAATACAGATCTTCTAGATTTTTCTAAGACCATATGGGAAAACAGTATTCTTAGTATTCCATTTGGTGTGGTTTATTAGTGTTGCATTTTGATGAGTTTTTCAGTATTGAAAATAAATTATTGCTCATTTGAATAAAAAAAGAAAGAAACATTGACTATAGTGAAGGAAAGGTAAATTTGTGTTTCAGAGGAAAGAGCACTTTCTTATTGCACATCTTCTCTTCTGCTATCTGTTAGAAGTCTTTATCTCAGTGAACAAATTTAATATGCATTTATAAAACAATGTACTTCTACAGTGTCACTTTTGTTGGCAGAAAAAATTGATAGTCCAGAATGGGCCCTTTAATAATGAAAGTCTAAATGATTGCATTGTCATTTACAGGTGAATTTATTGCTAAAAATGTACAAGAAAAGCAGCTGGTTTTAGTTTTCTGCCAGTGGGAGAGTGTTTTAGTTTTCAGCAAGGAAGAAATACAGCACAACAAAGAAAAAGTCCAGATGTTTACTTCATAATGTGGAGAAGAATGCTATTAACCTTGCCTGCCATGCCAAACGGTGAGACCATTTTTCTCCGTTAAAACTTGTATAGCCTTCTTGGGCTCACAATTGCCTACTCTGAGCAATGCATGTGAAATCTCCTTTTTCGCAGCAGCAAGGTCAATAAATCTCCATGAACTATAAGCGTAGCACACTAGCGATAGAAACCCAAACCTAGCTTGTGTTAATAAAAACTGTTTGTCTTTATAGTTTCTTCAGCGCTGAAACATTTCCCTGTTATGTAGAAAATTTTTGTGATTTGAAGCAGACCAGACTCGGAGACTGCAAGTGGCTCTTGCCAAAGCTCATGTCTCTTGATGTCTTGTGTTTGGTGTTCTCAGTGACATTCAGAAAATCATATCATCTGGACAGCTTTTTTTTGTGTGGCATTACTTAATCTACCACTGCTCTCCACCATTGTTCCTAAACTACTAAAACAGTGGTTGAAAGCTCATTTAGTTATCACAGTGCTACTTGTGGCCTCAAACAATTCAGGATGTGTCAGCACTTCCATTGTAAGTCATGATTTTCAGGATGTAACTATGCTAAATACATTCTTTCTGCTCTGAAATATAGTCGACAAGGTATGTTAGCAACAAGACTTAATTTTATTTGTTTTAATGGACAGCTCTTGAGAGTGAGAGAGATTGGCTTTGGCTTGGATTCAAAGCCTGCACGCTTCCCACAGATTGCTGTCTTGCCTCACCCCAGCCTTCCCAGCATTGTCTCTCCTCTGGAAGGCTTTGCATTACGGTGAAAGGATAAAAGGCTGCTATGAAGGCTTTTCTCCTCTGAGTGCTTAGATTAAGAGCAACAGCCTTAGTTTCATCCGCATTAAATGTCAAATTTGAATCCAGTTTTGTGGAAAATAAACAGTTCTGTCATTAAGACATTTAAACACAAGTTTTGCCAATTTGACCGGTTACGTTCTCTGCTAAAAGAAAAATATTTCTTCATGAAATGGCTCTTCTGTAGCTCCGACAGCATTATGAATAAAATTAATGTACTACTTTTTCAGATACATAGAAATCATGGTTTATTACTTAAAGAGGAAAAAGGAGAATTAAGTAGAATATTAGATTCCAGTATCATTGTCTGCTCGTTCTAAGCCTGCAGATCTGTGTAGAGGCATGAGCCTTTGTATAAATAATTTTTCTTCTGCCCTAATGGGACATACGTGCCTGGAGGTGAGTCCTCCTTGAGAAGAAGATGTACACTCAGACTGTCCAAGAGTTCAGGCAACAGGACATTAGCTTCTGCGGTTGTTGTCCTGCAAGAAGTCTGGAGACTTTGCCTGTGGAGGATAATCATAGTTCTTTTGGGAAGTAAAAATCCCCTCTCTTCAGCAACTGCAGAATATATGATTAGGTATCATGGAACATTGCCTTGGATTATAACCAGTCCAATTGCTGAGCCTGAAAATCTGGTCCTTTAAACTGCCTGCTGTTTGATTATGCCTCTCCGTAAGGACTTGGGATTACAGCAAATGGCTCCTAAAGGCAGAGGTACCAGAAAGAGATTGAAAGCTGCTCTTATACTTCAAGATATACTCCGTTGTGGCCAGTCAGGACTGTATAGGAATGTGTGTATGTGCTGAAGGGAGAATGAAAATTTTCTGTTTACAAAGATATGTAAACAAAACTAGGCATTCCTTGAGCATCTGCTCATCTGGGAGTAGTTGGGGGTCTTACATGAAGAGGACAGCCATGGGTGGGAGTGCTTAAGAGAGTAATGCTCAGGAAGGGTGGGGGCAAGGAGAAACTGTGTATCCTTGTCTTCCTTTGTTTGATCATTGTTTTTTTGACCAATACATTTCATCTTTTCAGTGGAATCTAACAGTAAAATCAATGTTGATGTAGGCTAGCTTAGGCTTTGCTGGAACTAGGAGAACTCATGCTATCCAACAACAAAGATGAGAAACTCGTTTAAGGTAGATCTTAGTAAATTTATGGATGGAATTGGGGGGCAAAGTTGCTAGCAATGGAACCAACTACTCTGAGTCCATGGGCGTCCAGCTTGGTGATATCCCCAAGGAAGATGTGACTGGTGTTGATGGTATTCATTTGTACCCTTTTTGTATGAACCACAGCCCACGGGGATTGTCCCCTGACCTTCTGTTCTGTATCCTGTCTTCTCACGTTTTTGTTTTGTTTTGAGCATACAAGATGCTATGAGAAGTACTGCTGTGTCATCGATCCCTGGATGGTTTGTCATATTCACGTGCTCAGACCTGCTACCAGTTTTACAGCTAGGGGAGGATTCTCACCTTGGTTTGGAAGTCAGGAGTGGGTTAGTTGGTTGGTTTGTTATTATTTTAATTCCATTGCTGAATGGGATCTGGGCCACTTCCTTGGAGCTTTAGATCTCTTCTATGACAGAAATTTAAGGTTTTTTTTTTTGTTACGGAAGAGATTTGTTCTGTTTTAAATGGAGTGTTGTAAAGTACTTTTTAGCAGCAATGTGGGGTCACTTTAAAAAATAAAACAAAAATCTATTAGTCTACTTGCCTGCAATAGTGATACTTGCCTACTTGACCTGTGAGGGAATGGGCTTGATGACGCTGGTAACATGTTCTGTTCCTGTAAATGGGGGCTCAGCAAGTGAGCCTGGCATTTCCAGCTTCCGAGAGTTTGCTTTTTATGACCTAATTAACATTTTTAATGTACATCTTATGAGTCGAGTATGTAATACAGGATACTGCTTTATGCAAATTGGTTTTTGAAAAATACTGAATAGAAAAAACCTTGTTCTTTTCAGTTATAAAAAAGACAACTTTCACATGTAGGAAATATCTATAAGGATGATACAAAAGGTACTCTTTCCATAGTGGGGAGTATTTGTATTTTTCCTTTTGTATTTTACCTTTTTATATCAATGTATTTATCAGGCAGTAATAACTTTGGAAGATGAAGCGTTTACCTTGGGTCTTATGCTTAAGGAAAACTAAATATAAAAGTACAGGCATCTGCTTCAACAGTTGTTCCATTAGCTACATTCCAGTCACTCATGAAATGTATCCCTCAAAAAATGTTTTTAGTCCTGAGGTGGATCTCTCTCAAAAAAGGTAAACCTCTATAAATTAAACTGATTTAATATTCAGTCCTTTTTAAACATTTGCAAATTTACTTTGTGCCGAGGCAGTGCACAAATATTGCACCTTCTCACTCAATAGGTCTTTTATTCAAATATATTAACAGATTTCTGTGTTTAATGAGAAATTTTGAACTTCTGTTGCTATTATATAGGCTGCAGCTGTTATGAAGAGTTGACTAATGATTGCTCTTTCATGAACATCAGCGAAGGAATTGTTTACCCAAATGGTATTTATCAATTGTCTGTGAGCTATGGGAGTGTTTATCATATAAACACATTCTCTTTTCAAAAGACATGAAAAACTGCTTCAAAATCTTCTGAATGGAGCACTGGTCTAGACTGTCTTTGGAAATACAGCTGTTGCCTTCAGAAAGTTTGGAATATTATCTAATTACCTACCATACTGTCTAACTTCCAACTACAAAACTCCTGGACATCTTTGACACTGTCGGAGGTATAGGAGGCAGCATCCCAGTGTCTCTTGGGCTGAGAAAGAAGTGTGCTGTGATCTGACCTGAATTTGCATGGGTTGTACATGCAGATGTCTTGGGAAGGGTCTCGAGGCTGGTCCTTCCTTGGGGCAGAGATCAGTCTGGACACTGACAGGGTGGGCGGTTTATTGAAAGTACTTAGGTGGGCTTTTATTTATGGATAGATATAGATAGTAACGCGAGCAGTACAGTTTTCTCCTGTGTTCCTCATATATTTGAAATTCTTATCAGAAGTAAGATGAAGATATTTAATTCTGTAAGTTTTGCAAACTAAAGGGTTGCTAAACTTTTCTTCTCAGCTTATATTTCCTCGCATGGTTTTTATTTTTTCTTTACAATATTTATTCTCTTTTAAAGACATGCTTTCTTTAACTGCATTTTGCTCTGCTGTCTGACACAAATTCTGCCTTTTTTTAAGTGTTTCTGCCTGAATTGGAAAAAAAGAGAAGATTCTCCAACCTTCTTTGCCTGTTTTCCATGTGATATAATGCCTTTTGTGAGAGGCATTGGCAAGGAACTGAGGTGCAGAAAACTGTGAAATACATGAAAATCCTAAAAGCATCATATAAAAAATTGAATGTCTAAATGTATAAAGCTCACACAGCATATCATCCTACTACATATTTAACAGTTTTTCCTGAGCAGTAGGCAGCTAGTGTTGGAAAGTTCATGAATATTTTATTGTGTGAGATGAAAAGTAACCATGTAGCAAACATATAAGACCTACATTTTTTATTTAGATTATCTCTTTTTTTGGTTTTTGTTTTCATATGGCTGAATCAGCCTTTCATCTCCCACAAACCTTCTAAAATTATCCCCATCAACTTAGTAGTACTCATTGCTGAGGGCAGACCTCATCAGCTGGAGGTTCTGTTAGTGAAGAACTGAGCTAAGCAGCAGATCGTGACTGTTTCTTTAGTCTTGGGGCAGTTTATGAAGACAAAAAAAAAGAAGGGAATTCTGAAATGGTAATGCTGAATGTCAAAATTAAAATATAGTTTGAACCCTTTCTGCTGCTGGAACTGTAACGTTCCGTAACCGTCTGAACTGAGGACAGAAGCAGAAACCTGGGATGTTGGCAAACGGGCTTTTTGACAGAGCAACCAGCTGAAGAGAAACTAGCCATCCTATATGAGATATTTGTCCTAGTTCTGGTAGTCAGGCTGTTGTAGTTCTGCTAGAGTACGTATGGAAGAGAAATATGATTTACAGGTAGAAATAATACCTTTTCTTAGATCAGAAGGCACAGATGGAAGAAACAGGCAAGGCTTTGGCTGCGTAAGCCCCTGTTCAGATGAGAAACAGAAAAAACAGATAATACAGGTTGAAGACAGTCGCTGTGCGTTGAATTATGTAGATCATCTAGACAACTCAGAGGAAAGGATTCTTCCTACCTGTGGTGCAGAGCATGCTGTTGTGATGGATCACAGTGTTTCATCTGGAGGAGGCAAGCCTTAGGCTGGTAAACATTGCTGACATACAGATTTTCCTTCAAGTCTACATGTGTGTTAGGGGGGGATGCATGATCATTTTTGTCTGAGCAATTATTTTGTCACCATGCTGGAATTTCTTTTACTGCTTGTTGACAGGCATCTGTTTAAATTATTATAATGGAATTTTTAAACATTGTTTTGTGGCTTATTTCCCCCCAAGGACTCTCGAGAGTTTCTGTTGCCCTCTGCCCTTATTATTTTTTTCAAAATTTTTTTTTTCTTCCGTCCTTCCTTCCATAAATCTCCTTAGATTACATCTCATTCTCATTTTTCTATGTTAATCAGAGAGAGTTCTCTCTTCTGTGGCAAGATGTCAGGAAAGTTAACTGAACATGCCAGTACGTGTTCCCCAGACATCATATGACATGCGTGGTATCTAGAACAGAAGTAAAGAAATGATCTGTGTGCATTGTAGTTGGAGGCAGCGGAAAGGAAAGCCTTCAGCAGCTGCCAACATTTATTTAGTACAGATGCTGAAACCAGGCAATCATTCTGCAGCTGTAGTTCTCAGGTGACCAGATCTTCTGTAAAGGGCCAGCAACTGAGTAACTGTCTTTTTTAAAAAATGGAAATGCTAGTAACTAGTAATCAAATTTAAAAATGGTCCCTTGGAGCAGAACACAGATGCAGTAGGACATCCAAGAGCACCTGAGCAATTCATGGCTGCTGGAAGGGGGCACAAACCAAGGGAAACGGGACAGTTGACACCAGCTGAAGATTTGTCCTAAGTCTGTGTTTTATTTCTGTAAATATTAAATTGTACAATGTACAATAGCATTCTAAATGTGTTATCTGTGTAAATCAGAAGAAAGGATAGAAAATATGTACAATATGCAAAGTTCCTAGTTTGAAACTGAGGATTCGAAACACTATTTACTGTGTACTTAAGAAAACTCAGAATAGTTTGTGACCAGTGTGTAATAAAATGTGTATGTTTACACATACAGCAGTTAGAGGAGAGAAGAGAAGGTTTTGTCACAGACTGTTGAAGAGATAATATATTGTAGAACCATATTGGGAGCAGGAAACGCATTGAGCCTGCTGCCTTTCTTGCCTCCCTTGAATCAATCAAGATCAGCATTGCACTTACAAAGATGTAAAGTTACTACATATTCCCATTTGCACTATTCTTTTTTTTTGGTAGTTTTTTGTTTTGTTTTGTTTTGTTGTTGTGGGTTTGTTTTTTTTTTTTTTTGTGTGTGCGTACCTCTCTTGCAAGGGTGATTGTGAGGATTAAATACTGTGGCATAGCATCACAAGACGTGCTGGAACTCCCCAAGTATTTCTTCAGTTTTTCAAGTCCTGATTGATTTTCTTTTTGCTCGTACGCTTGAAAGTTTTGCAAATCTTCAAAGCCTTTAGGCTTTTCTCTCAGCATATATTTATAACAGTAGAGTACCACTGAGTATTACTTCATTACATTCATGCTCCCTAATGAACACTGACTCTGAAGGTAAAACAGATGGAATTTGTTTACTTATGAGATATGCAAAATTATAGTTTATTAAGTTCCTTCATTTTAATGGACAAATGAGCTAATGGCTATGTGGGTGGGCTGGGTACTACACAGTGTGTAGCTGTGTAGATGGACTACAATTACTTCAATTCACTAACTATGCTTTCAAGTACACCTGTTCTCCATTGTGTTTTTCAGCTGGAAAATCTGCCATCTGGAATCAGATCAGGTTTTGAACAACAACAAAAAAATGAATGGCTATAAATTTAGGTCAAAAACATTTTTTTTCTCAGTGAAAAGAATGCACTTTTTCATGGAACTTGATAACAGAAACAACTATGTGTTGAGGAAATAAGGTTAATTAGAAAGTAGAGTTTCATATTGCATGCTAAAGGAAGATGAAAGCTGAAAATGAGAGAAATACATGATGTGTATTGGCAGTATTTTCAAGTTTCCAGATTGCATTTAATCAGAACCTGATTTGGCTTGAAATGGCTGTTTGTTGAAATTCCATTTTTTATGTTCTGAGAGACAGAATACAAAGCTCCAGTGACTCTTTTTTGATTTAAAGGGAATGAACTGGAAAAGATAGGAAGCAGCAGATGACAGGTGTGTTATTTGGCTATTGCATAACTTTTACTTTATTCACAGACAGGAGATGGGCTTCTCATCGTAGTTTTTTTTATAGCTGGACAAAGCTTGATGGAAGATTCTTTGTAATATCAAATTCCATTTTGGTTTTGAAAGACACTGCACCAACCCAGTTTCATAATACTAGCCCAAAAGCAGAAGAAACTAAATTGCAGGGTATCTGGTAGTGTAGAAAAAGGCAATAATTGAAGTAGGAGAATGAATCTTTTAAATTACTCTGAGTTTTCTTGTAAGCATGAAGAGTTTGCAGCCATGTAGGTGCCTTACTAAAAAGAACCAATATGTAAAGAGACACAGGAATAGTACGTATTAGCAAATTAATGTTTAGCAGTTAATTAATTTTACAGCTCCTCTTCTTGGTGTGGGAGAGTCAAAAACTAAAAAGATGAGCCAAAGTATGCCTATATATACACTAGCACCAGTGTGTGTATATACACTGACCTCAGTGTGATTGCAGAGCTGTAACAAATGCTGAAGTGTGACTGTTAAGCGGGAGCCTGAATGACAAACCGTTTCCTCCTCTGCTAAGGGCAAAGGCAGATCCCCTTTCCCGCACACATCAAAGACGATGATACAGCTACCTGTGCGTTATCACCAGGATGGAGGTTATTATGACCAAAGGATACTAACCGCGAAGAAGAATTATTTGCCCATTTGTCATTCAGGTCTTCCAAAATGCTTTAGGAAGGTATTTAGAACTCTAATAAAAAGCTCTGCTTTGAAATGAAATAAGGACGCTTACACCTTTTTTTTCCTATGGGACTGGTAAGCTGTAGGAGAGGACAAGTAACAAGCAGCTTGGGGAAGAGTGGTAACACCGAGCCACTCTGGTAGCTTCCAAAATAGTCAAGAATATCTCTTCCTTAACTCTCCAGTCACTACTTTGCAGTGATTACTGTTTCCTCTTGCTATTTTTATGCAGGGAGAGTGATCTTAGGTGCCGATTTTGGTGGTTTGAAAACATTTTATTTTTTTCTTCCCCCTTCAAAAGGGGAGTGTTTGACTGCCGATACTGCATGATGCATAAATGATGAGCACTGATGACAGCTGCTCACTCACTTTTGTCATCATTATGTAAACCGCCGTCTGTCAGATATGGGCACCGTCCGAAGAAAAAGCAGGAGAGCTCTGCTGAATATCAACTGCTAGGCTGGGCCGAGCTACGGCTGGGCTGGAAAAATTGTCTTGTCGTAGACTCAACTTCTTCCTTTTGCATTTATTGCAGGAACTGGCTTTCACACGAAACCAGTTTGCCTTGGCTGGGCGATGTGCACTCCTTGCTTCTGGTACTGTGCTCCCAAATAAACATTTAGCAGTGAAGAACTAAGCTAATGATGTAAATTGTTTCACACATTGCCATTGACCGTGGTGGTTTTTATATCATGTTCACTGTGAACGGCAGTGCTATATTTGGGAGAAAAGTTGGACTTCTTGCTTATTGCTTTTCCAACAATACAGCTCTAAAATTCTGCAGCCGACAGGCTTGGAAATAAGTAAGGGAAGACTAGTGTGGCCAGAATAGAAGGAAAAGAATAATGATTAATCTGAAACAAGATGGCAGAACTGTTTTCTTCCTTGCAGTATAGTGTAGATCAGAAACATTTCTCTGAAGATAACATATTTTTTTCCAGTTAGTAAGAGATTATATTTGAGAAAATTCCAGTTAAGTATATTAAAAAAAACGTAATGATGGTTACAAATTGCTGTACAACCTCTTTGCTGTTCAGGTGCTTCTTTGCAAGTTTATCTCCTTATTTTTATGTTACAGCTAAGTTAGCACTAGTCTATACCCAGCAGGGTAATATTCCATATTGACCAGTATGCACTAATACTGTAGTGATCTCCAGCTGAGACAGCTCCTACAGCAAAAGGGATTTGTTTTGTTCACAGGCTTTATGTTGCTGTAATGTTCAAAATTTTCAGTCAGAATTATTGACAGACTGTGAGTCTTGATTAAAAAAAATTTTTTTTTTTGAAGCTTCTAATTTTTTTTTTTTTTATTTCCTCATGTCCTGTAAATCAGCGAGCCATCACAGAACGATGATGCCTGCCTCAATGGTGCTGCAGCTACCCTGAACAGGGCAGAAGGCAAGCGAGGGCTAAATTTTGCATACTCTGGACGTTTACCTCTCTGTGTTGACAGTAACGCAATATGGTACATCTTGCTCTTGATCACAGGCCATTTAAAATGTGATTAGTACATTTAGTCAAAACTTAAATATAAATAGAAAATAACCACCCATGTAAAAATATTTGTTGTGTGTGCTTTTTCCCCTGGGGTAATAAATTAGCCAGTAAGAGGTTTCACGCAGTTTTGTGATGTTTATTACCTACTCCGCCACACTGTACTTTAGAAAAAAATTAACTCTCTTCAATTTTATGAAGCAGTAGAAGAACCTTTATTTGAACAGTCTGTGGCCAGATGTCCCAGATGACAGGTGCAGGAAACAGTAAGTTTAATTTTAATGGGTTTTTAGCCTTACTTGATCAAATACTCAACATATCAGAATGAAAAATGTGTTTCATTGCAGTTTATGCTTGGCCTCAGTTACCTGAGATTGCAGATTTTGCGTTAAGGAGTTTGGAAGTACAAGGACAGCAGGGCGGGTCTGTAGAGTTGGCCCTCTGGAGCAGAACTGAACCGTCTCATGGTGGTGCACACGATCAGGTAGTTCCCGGTACCGACACACAGCGCTGCCAGTCTGCACGCTGTAGTCGGTTCTGTACCACACCAGCAAACAGCTACAGATTTTTCCCCAAGCCTGGTCTCCTCCATAACCTTCTCTCTGTTTTTAACAGTGACACTAAATCTTCCCTGTTCACTCCTGCATTATTTATGTTTTGCTGCCAAGCCTTTCTTCTGGTTCTTCTTAATCCACCTAGAAAATCTACTTTTCCCGTCTTTTGCCTTCACTAGGAGGCAGAAGGCTAGAAGTCAGCTATGTTTTCTTTCCCTATGCTTTCTGCAAACCTCTTTTTCTCCTTTCCAATCTCAAGAAATCAGCTTCAGACATAAAGCCCATCTCTATATTTGTCTGTTGATGACTGACACTAACTGATCTACACCATCATGTTGGGTGTGATGCATTTTTACGTAGTCTACGGCTGTTGTGTCTATGTTGTAATGCCTATGCTTTGCAGTCTCTTTAGTCGTGCTAGATTGGGGCTTAAGTTCATGCTCAGCTTCAAACTCTGTGTTGTCTTTGCTTATTTGGTTTGTTTCGGGGGATGTAGTCCTCCTAGCTTGACATGAGAAAAGAGACAAAACTCCTAGTGGTTTTCCCTGGTTGGCACTGTGTTTGTCTGCTTCGCGGAGAACCTACAAGCAAACCGTGAGCACAATGACTGAGACTTTGTAAGATCTTTGTAACGTGTCCAGAGTATTTCTAGCCTATTCGAAGCCTTTTTCACTTGCTGTTTGCAAGAGATTTAGGATGAAAAGGTGGAAGAAAAAGCTGAAACAGACGCATGAACCATTTGTGATCTGCTAATGTAGTTGGCTGTCCTTGTGTGCCAAATATGCAAGTACCTGCATTCCAAGTGATTTTTGTCACATTCATAGGAAAAAATTATATTTCCAGTACTTTTCTGGTATTTAAAAGGAACCAATAGTGTTTATTCTGTTCCAACACTCACAGTGAAGCATCTTCTTCTTTTGTGTTGAGTTTGTTTTCTTCTTACTCTTTTCCCTCTTAGTTGTCACCTGTGAACTGATTCATAGGATTTGTTGAATCTTTCTGTAACATAGCACGTTTGGGCTAAGGAATTATTAATCGTGCATTTGCTAGTGAGATAAAATAAGCAAGGGGAAAAATGGAAAACTGCTTTGCGGAAATGAACCTTATTACAGCTTTGAGGAAATGACACTGTAATTAAAGCTGAGACAGGCATTTTATACAAATCCCTTCTCTTCAGCTGTGCATAGCATATTGAAAATAAAGTTGTGATGATTTATCATATTTAAACTCTTTAATGGACAGTTTGTGGAGAGAATTTGTATTTAATTCTGAGAGAGAAAATAGAGTATTTTTGCCTCATTCAGACTTCATGAACATTCGCACAAAGTAACTTGGAAACTGGCTTTAAACTTCTCTTTTGTGTAAAACTCCATGTATACTATTTCCGTGGATGTTCCTATATAGTGGAATTCTGTCTTTTCCTCTCAAGAACCACAAGATTGGAGTTTAGATTTTGATATTAATACACATGATGTTCTGTAATAATTAATGATTTATTTTTGCAAGAGTAGAAGTGGAAAGGGAGCAAACAGAAAGGAAAAAAATATGGATACAATTGATTAGGTTTCAAGTTCTTGCATTGCACCTGTGACTCTACCATCTGGAGACCTTCCAGATTTGGGAATTTGGAGGGGAAAAAAAAGAAAAAAAAAAAGTAAATATGAGCATACTTGCTCTCACTTCCTCCTATCTCAGCCGTGATATGTACTATTGAGCTGGAAAAGTCATGAGATCAGAGATTTTTGTTTCGTTTGCCAGTATAGGAATACTTGGAAAGAAGAGTTTCTGTCTTCTCTCTTTCCTTTGCAATTCAGTTCCACGAAGTCACATACATGTCAGTTCTTATGCTCACAGCTTCTGTCTTAAAACCAGGAATATATTTTTCAATTAGAAAAAAAATTAGAATAGACAGACAAAATATAGAATAGAAGATTTGAAGACTGATCCAGACATTTTCCATAATTAGCTCTTCCCATTGTTCTGGTCAAAAGTGCCTCAGATTTTTTCAGTCTTTTCTTATTGCAGCCTTTTTTAACGCCTTCTTTTCATTTATCAGCAAAGATGACAGTTTTTCTGAGCACAGAGGATCAGTTCAGTTTCTCTGAACAGAACAAGAATCAAAGAAACCCAGAGCTGTAACCTGCAGTTTTGTCACCTGTTGTTTTTCATTACAAATCCCTTTTTATCAGTTGATTATACTTCTGTCAAAATCACTTCATACCAGTATGTACTAAACTAATTTACAGTGTACAGAAGGGAAAGTTTATCAAGCAGATCCCTTTCCCTAGCAAAGGGGAACTGTGTTTTGAAAGGTTTATGCTTAAATGAGAAGCAAGTTATGTGCATGAAATACAACAAATTTCATGTATACTCACAAAAAATACACAATAGTTGTAAAGATGCAAATATAAATATTTGAAGAATCTAGCTTTTTTTTTTTAAAGAAGTGTGAATTTTGTGATGGTAAGTAGGAGGTTGTTATTTTTAGACAGGAAAAGTAATGAATACTATTTTCAGTGTCCTTTGTTGGTGTAGGGTCAGGGTTCCCACCTATGGAAAGTATATAACTAGGGGTATGAAACCCTCTTCAAAGTGGCTTGTAAAAGCTGCCTAAGCAGCTAAAATCCTTTCAGGTGAGAAGGTGCTTGACTTTCTGCCCTGTCTCCTGAATCCATACAGAAAGTTTAACTATGAGCTTTTGACTGTGAAAATGCGTGGTGTATTGTCAAGTAGTACAGGTAAAATAGGGAAACAACCTTTTTTCCTGTGACAAACTTTTTTCTTAATTGTTTTTTTTGTTAGCAGTAGGAAAACATGGTAAAGCAACTACCACAAAATACTGCACAGCTAAAGGTATAAACTGTGAGGAACACTTTCCTAACAAATCCACTCTCTGCTTCACCTTTAATCCCCTCTTGCAAGAATATTTTCACAGTTGCTTTTCAAGGAGAACTTCCCCAGTACGGGTGCTGAGCCAGAGAGGAGGGCTGACCACACACCTGGCTGGCAACCCTTAACAAGCTGAGATAAGTGAAAGGGTGAGCTCTTGTCATTATCTTGATCTGTAAGATGAAATTTGTTCGAGATGAACAGGTTATTCTAAAAAAGCCTATGCATAGCAGCAGATAACTTATTTTCAATTTTCAGTGCACTGAGATTTCTAAGATTGTTCAGAGATAACTATTAATAGCACCATGCACAAAGAAGGTCTGCAATGCTTCAAAGGGATGCACAAAGCCTGGGGGGATGGCTCAGACTTACTGCTGTGTGTGATCGCAGAAGAAAGTCATGAGGCTTGCACACTTCAAAAGTCAGGGCATGCGAAAGTTCAAGCAGCCTGTGCAAATTCACCTCCCCCCTTCTGCTTGTTCATTACAGTGCATATAATTGCTCAATTTAGTTTCTTCAGGGTGTTTCCTTTAGCAGTTAAGAGATTTGATGATGTAAGTATGAATTAAGTTCTTAAATAATGTTTATTGGTATTGAGCTTTTTAGCCAAATAGAAATGCAAGTTTTTTGGTTTATTGCTCCTGCTTTGCCATGACAATTGATGTATTTTTTGACCATGAATTTGTCTATTAAAGATCTCTCTTGTCTATCAAAGCAAGCCTCTGTTCTCAAATGCTTATGTGGTACCTAATTTACTGGTGTTATGTCTGTCAGTAGCATTTTTACATGCTACCATAGCGGAAAGAATAATTACATGTGAACGGTACCCTGTCTGTCAATATTTAAACCTAAACTACTAAAAAGATTTTCTTTCCATACAGAAAAGAAGCATATTTCTTTAAAAACATAGGGCTAAGTTGTAGGGATAGTCTTAACTCCACGTGTCACGGTACTCCAGTCCAACAAAATGACTCTGGCACGATGCAGACATGTATGGGTTTAAACCTGGCGTAGTTTAAACCCTTTCTGGAGTGTATGAGATGAGGTGAAAATATACTAGTCAGGACTATTATAAGTTTAAGTTCATGAGTATCAGCTTTTTCTTTGTGTTGTGGAGGCTGAGGCACACATAGTGGTTCGAGCAGCTCTGTCCTGCAATGGCTGATGTAATGTGTCCTTTACCTTGCCTAAGGCTCCAGCAAGGCTGCAATTAAGCCTTTTTTGTATTATTATGATTATTATTACTATTATTGTTGTTGTTGTTATTAAATAATAATAACCTGATTTCTGTGTTTTCAGTGAGAACACCCAGCCTCATTTAATAGCCAGACCAACCTTTGCCTTTGGTTTCAGTGGTGTCAATCCACATGTAGAAGTGTTCTGGATTCAAGGATGGAAGTCTCTTTTCTCTAACAAAATAAAATTAATCCATTATTAAATGTGACCTCAAAAAGAGGGAATGTACCACAGTGTCTTTATCCCTATAGAGTCAGCTAGTTTCAATGTAAGGGCTTCAAATAGGTGCTTTTGAACATTTACATTTCTGGCAGAGTAATTTATGTAAAGTGAAAGGCAATAAACTGGCTCAAAATATTACTGTAAAGGATTTTTATGATAAGGTTAAATAGTCTAAATAAATATGTAGTGACTGAATAGATTTTAGGCATAAGTGGCAGGGGAAATTTGATAGATCTGACATGTGCTAATTGCCTCCAGCACTAGCTATTGCCAACTAACCAGTTAGTAAAGACGTACAGTAATGTCAAATCTGCAAATACTATAGTAAAATGCCTGAATTTATGTTCATGAACTATTCTTTTCCCCTGCACACTGAGCCAGTTTACTTCCAACAGCTTTACCGTTGAATTGTGAGATTTTGTTGAGACTACTGCACTTTCAGGCTGATTTTTTTTCATCGAATAGTAGAGTTGGTTTTTTCCTGTCTCCCAAAACAGAGAAATGCTAAAGCTAGTGGTGAACTGGAATGTGAACAGTGAATGAGAGATAAAGCAGAACGTTTTGAAAATGCTGGAATTTATATTTATGAAAAA